CTTTGGGAACACGCTCTTTAGGTCTGCATGATTGAAATCACCAGCCAAGATGAGAAAAGCATCTGGGTGGGCTGTCTGCTGCTCACTGATGTGCTGGTACAGTTCATTTAGCTCCTGTTGCTGTTGTTGGAGCTGGGAGGGATGTATACAGCAACGAGCATTATGGCTGTATATTCCCTCGGTAGATAGAACGGCCGGCACTTAATAATCATAAACTCCACCAGGGGTGAGCAGTGTTTGCAGACCACAACACCATCGCGGCACCACGCGTCATTGATGTAAACACAAAGCCCTCCACCGCGGGTCTTACCTCCCTTGACGCGAGCTCTGTCCGCTCGACAGCATGTTAGCTGGTCGAGCTGAATAGCGCAGTCCGACTCTTGAAGAGCCTCTGACGACCCTTCCGGCCACACTTATATCTGTTTGTGAACTGGTTTGGCAACTTTAACGAGCGGTCTGTATGCAGGCATAACCTCCGCTGTGGGCGAGGTGCAGCATTGGGGGTCGGTGATGGTGTAGGCCTCCGGAGCAGACCGAGGTCCCACAGCTCTTCGGCGTGCACGGAGTTTAGCTCTAAAAATGTGGTTCTACCGACATCGAGCAGAAACTCACGACTGTATGCACGCTTAGAGACCGCCATCTACTACTTAATCACTACAATTGCTGTAACATTCACTTCCAGAGGGTGCACATATGAGCAGTGGTGGAGGTAACGAATTACAACTACTCACGTTACTGTAATTAAGTAGTTTTTTTGGGTACTTGCACTTTTTGAGTATATTTTTAAAGCTGTACGTTTACTTGTACTTAAGTACAAATTAAGCTAAATAATATACTTCGTTACTTTTAAATCATAGGTCGTTACTGAGTATGCCCACAATTTGAATTGATATTCAAACCTTTGACGGCACTTCAGTAGCCAATAAAGATATCCGACCGTAAACGGACCAATAACAGCCCTGATATCTGAACCGGGAAAAGCCGCTGCTTTTTCTTTCGCTCCTCTCCAACAGCGAGTTTGACACGCATCCGCCTCCTGTCAATTACAGAGTCTGAATGTCCGCGCGGGATTGCAGGTATTCCTCATAATTTTAATCATTCTTGCGCAGATGTGGCGAGCGCTTTATAGTAACATGAGAACACAGTCATGTAATCGCAGAAAACTTGATGCCAGCTCTCAAATAGGCCTAATTTATACAAATGAACTGCCTGTCCTCTCACTCCGATATTGCTTGTGCGTACTCAGACTGTGTGCAATCGCGATCTCTCCGTGCTTTTAAAATAGAAATTATTTCTCTTTGCTCCTGGATTAAACTTTGTCAACAGTTATCAACCATTCAGAATAGATCCATGCCTGATCGATGAAAATCCTACTGGAAATTGTATTGGCTGTAAGTGAAATGCACCAGAAAGTCTTTCAACAATCAAAGATGGAACTTTCATTTCTTTACAATGTAA